TTACAAAACGAATTGAATACCTAAGTCAAAATAAATGGTAGGAGCCAAGCAATGACGCAAGATTTGTGTAAGTCTTATTAGAAACATTCTTCGAGTCAGCTGGTAGAGCTATGGTCATGTTGTGTGAGGCATCTTCATCACACAACTTATTTTCTGTGGGACTATATAGATCATTAGCCAATCAGTGGAGTTTGATTAAGTCCATTCTAGTATGTGATCATCAGCTAAAAGATAGAGAAGGTAGATGGCCAGTGCTAGCTGAGGTTTAGGATGAGAATTCCTAGTAACTGCTTAACATACCTAAGTAACTGCTTAACATTTTAAATTTCTCTTTAGTGTTTGATTCAGTGAATCATGTCTTTCAGAGGCATCTAGTAATTCCCCAGGGTCTTGGTGCTTAGTCCAGATCAGCCAGTACAGAGGAATCCTTGCATCCTTAGCATCTTTAACCTTCGCTATTGGGTTACACAATGTTTCATTAGAATATTAGTTACTGTTCAGTTCAGACACTGTGGTTGCCAACTGATGCTGAAATTAGTTTCTGTTTGTAAATTTGATATTACCGTCATGTTCTTTGGTAAGCTTCCAAAGAGAAAAGTTATTTTAGATACAACATATAAAATAATGCTTCCGATAGTAAAAGTGGTTTTAGGCAGCTAGTTTAAACAGTGCATTGTTAGCAGAGCTATCAATATACTGTTTCTGAAATATTCATTTATCTGAATAACACTTTTAATTTAAGATTTTTTTATATGCTTATATATATTTGAGTGAGAGATTTCTAGGAATAAAAAGCACAGAGAAGCCTTTCAAGGGAGTACAATTTGAGACCCATTTATTTCTCAGAACTTCTTTTTATATATAAAAATTATAGGTTGTATGGAGCTGCTGAAGATCTGCTGTTCTCAAATGTACTATGTACACTGTATTATAAATCCACTGCTATAAAAAGTGTAAAAGTTTTGTGAACCCCAGATCTAGAATTCACTTCAGAGCAATGTTTGAAATATTCCATTTTGGAAGTTTGTTTAAACTCAACCAACCACACTCTGTCCTAGAGCACTGGGGCTTCCTTGTCTAATGGCTTATTATCAACCTCCTAGGGACTCACTGGCATGAAAGGCACTATATAAGCTTAGAGGGAAATTTTTTTCTTGCCCCATGTGTAGTTTAGATGTCATTTGCAGTTACTGTGTACTGCTAGTTTACTTCAAAAGAATGCTGATCGAGGCCCGAGGAAAAGATGGAGCTATGTGCTAAAAAGAGGCGAAAGAATAAAGTACTACTTTGCTGTTCTACTGAGATACATCTGTGCTGGCTGCCAAATGCTCATTCCTAGTTTAAATTCAAAATTGATTCTTTTAGCCTGTACAGATAAGAACAAAGTCAGATCATGTTTGTTTAAATATTTGGTGTTTTTAAATAAAATAATTTTTAAAAAGTTTTACTGTACTTTAATCTTTTTCAAGAGTCAGTAAAAGAAAAACCTGTTCATTCACCTGGGAAGAGGGGAGCTTGATCAACCATGCTTGCTTTTCGAGAATACAGACAAGAATACAACTGTCTTCAAATATCTCCTGAGAATAACTGTAAAAAGAAAAGGGTGCTTCACAGTCCTCCACAGCTGACAAATGATTTTGTTAGCTACGGTGTTTAGCCTGTTAAAGCCTGTTGCAGGTGCTTTCAAAAAAGCCCATGGCTAGGGTTGTCAGAGGTATCCAAAAACTTTGGATTGCTCACTGTTTGGATGGTTTAAATAAGCCCTTTAAGAAGACCTGAATATCAAACGTGTCCTCAACAACTTCTGAAAAAATTGACTGCTTCAGATTGGGCACTAAATTACCAAAAGTGTCAGGTTTTGAAGTCTTATCTCCTATAGTAAGTCTACTAAAGGGGGTTTTTTATTGCTTTACATTGTTGTAGAAGTGGGTCTTTTCTTGAAAAAAAAATTTATTCCCTGTTGTTGGATATCAAATAGTTCTGTCACCAATACCAAGGACAGTCACAATGCTTTTGACTGCGCTACTGGTCAAGGCTGCTAGAGCACCTAGACTGATGTTCATGTGTTATATGGGTCCTAATGAAGTCACATGGCTTCCAAGAAGTGTAGGCATCGTTCTCATGTCATACACTTGCGTTTCCTGTTGCCAGACTTCAGATGTAAAGCTTTAAAGAGAGAATGGCCTAAAGCTTTGGAGATTATACTTCCTAGGCTGATTGGCAAAGATGTGTTTAGGATAATGTTCATATGTCGCCTAACACTGGTGTTTGAAAAAAAGTTACTTCTTCTGGAAATTCCTCTTCTTAACTAACCCGAAAAACCAGACCCACCAAGAGGCCAGAGAGCTTGTTGTTGTTTTTAAGAAAAAGACATAATGACTATAAAAACCTGATGTAATATAGGCTGCATTCCCCAACCACACTCCCATAGTTTAAAAGTTAAACCCTAGACCTGTGCAAAACAAAAATGAATGAGGCAAAATGCTCATTGACTTAACTTACACTAATATAACTCATTGTTCAATTCATTTTTGGTATTATTTTCCTTTGAGTCGTTTAGTTATGTGCTATTTGTGCCTTATAGCAGGTAACTACATTTAGAGACTTCAGAAGTCCTGATCAGTTTTTCTGCCTTCTGCGAGATCTACCAATTGTGTCAGTTCTTTGCAATTAGGTCATTTATTTCATTCAAGTGTGAGGTGCCTAGATGTAAATGCTATATACCTTCAAAGGAACAGCCATGGTTCAAAGCTCTACAAAACATCCTCTGGACAATTTTCTGTAAATCATTCCAGTCTAGTTGCATAAGTATGGCTTTAGAAATCAAACTTTATGTACCTCGGCTTAAAAAGAATAACCTAAGAGTAAAAATATTTACATTTTCATATCAATGTGTGCTATTTGGATCAGCTATTGGTAATTTTTATGCTCTTAAAAAAACAAAACAAAAAAAAACAAAAAAGCACCAAAAAAACCCAAATTATAAGATTTTCTTACTGGAAAAATTGTCCAGATATTTACTCAGAACTTACTATATGTTATGTATTTCAGATGATGGAAAAACACATTGATCCTTTTAATATAAATTATGGCTCTAAAATATATTAAAGTGTGTTGTCCTAATAAATGATGACTTATATGAAAAAAAGAAAAGAAAGAACTTGAGGGCTTTATTTAGATCCAGTCTGTTATTGTAAATGATGCTGCCAATTTATTTATTTTTTTTATAACCTCCAGCAGTAGAAGATTATTGTGATAAATGATTCATATGGCTGCAATATACACCTTATAAAATTTCCATATCTGGCAACTAATAGGCACTTCTTGAAGGTTTCAATAGGCTCCTTAGCCAGATAACGTGGCTGAAAGCTGCCTCATGATTAATTTCATCTAAATGTGGTAATTATCATACTTTGAAGTAATGCCTGCAAAACATGCTTTCACAGAGAGTTAGTGGAAGCAGAGGATTAACCTAGAAACATTTCAGTTCAGAGCAGCATATCACCCAAATAGAAATGTATTTTCCTCTGAATTTTTCAAGACTTTTTATTAGACTACTTGGCAGTCATTTGCATTACCTTATCTCATATCAACTTCTTCACAGCAATTTAGAGAGCAACAGAAACTGAAGCAACTTTGTATTATTATCAGTAATGGGATAGTCTTGGTTTTGCAAGCTACTTATTTTGGCAGCTTCTGCCCTGAAGTATTTCTTGTATTAGTGTTTAAGAGCACAATTAATTTGTCATTCATGTATGTTGTGGACGTAAACATTATCCTACCTATATTCTAGGCACACTATAGATTATTAGTTCATTTCCTCATGGGCACCCAGGGGAGTAACTTCTACCACTACTCTATGCACCTCTTTGCTTCCTGTCTCACAGGACCTCTGTGAACTATTTCTTAGTTGTACAGGTGAGACTATGAAACAGGTTTGTAAGGCCCCAAGTATGGTTATAAAAATGGCCGATTTTTGTACCCAGATAAAAGCCCTGAGGTGGAATAGCACCAAGAATTATAATGGAGAGAGAAGCTATCACTATTTCTGCCCACTTACATCTACTTAGTAAAGATTCCAAATCTTCTCCCAGCCATCAGAAAAAAGTCCCACAAAAAAGTGGCACAAAAATGCCACCTTAACTGAAGATGAGACTGAACAGCTTAGTTAAGTCTCTCCGGTAGGCTGCCTGGCCATGCTGTATTTTGATACAGCCGAGTTACTTTATTTAAATCAACCATGGACAGATTTTGCCTGCTTTTACATGGTCCATGTGTAGGACTGACTCAGTTTCTTCAGGTTCATAAGCTATTCCACATTGGCTCAGTTTTGGTAAGAGTCATATGTGTGCTCTTTTTCCACAAACATGAAAGAAATGCATTAGCTTGCTCTTTAACTGAACACGGGAAAAATTTGAAGAAGCAGGGATCTTTCCTCCAGACTGGACTGGAGGGGCGGCTTGGATCCTCTCTCTCCTCTCTTTAGCTGTAGATCTTCCATTTGTTTTGGCATGTGGGAAATAACGTGACAGCTGGAGTTTTGGCTAGGTGTTACGTGGAGCCTTCCAAACTAGGCCTCCATTGTATGGTTGTCAACAGTTGTAGGAAGCTAATGCCTTTCATTACACATCTCTATTCCTAGGCTCCTAGCGCATCTTCCCTTGCATTTCTGCAACCTGACAATGTGCACATGGTGAGCAACCATGGCTCAGCTAGTACATGTAAGCCATGGTAACTCAATCACATGTTGAATCTCACATATTACAATATTGAAATTAAACAAAAATGTCCACGTTCACACAGGTTTTGTTGCATTTACACTTAAGGTTAAATTAGTGCAACTGTACCGTGAAACAGAAGTGAACTGATTCACTGCATCATTCAAATGCACTCTGCAGCAAAGAAGTTGTTTCACCTCTAAAGCACACACTGCAGTTTTCTATCTACCTATACCCTTCCTAACTATGTTTTTATGCATATGTGTTTTTTTTATCTTACAGATGAAAAAGAAGCTGCTGTGTCCAAAGAACTCAAAAGTAAGAAATTAGTGTGCCATAGGTTATGATCTCTTTTATATGTCATGTAGTTTCAAACAGCACGTTTCAATAATCAAAAATAATAGGTATTGAATTGTTGAAAATACAAAGAAGAAAGTAGCTACACCGTTTATAATTGAAAAATGACATGTTTAGACTTCAGCTGCCTCCTACTTTCTAAATCCATTCTTATCCTACTTCTAATCCCACACTCCTCTTTGTGACTGACATTTTTGCCTTCCCCTCTTTCCTATCACTGTCTTCAAAAACAAAGGTTTCATGGGGAAGGAAATGCCAAATGAGGTCTCAGCTGAACGTGCTCTCAGTGGCAGCAGTTTCAATAAATGGGCTGAGAAGACTGAGTCCACATGCTGAGGACCACCAAATTTATCTTCACAAATGCAAAACAAGGGCCCTGCCTATCTAATTACCTCAGATCCAGACAGAGACTTCTGAAGCAGAAGAGAGGTAGGGGTTGGGCTTTTCTACATAAATAACCAAAAAATGCTCTGAGAACATGGTATCGTTAACAAGGGAACTCTTACACCTTCCTTTTCTACAAATTTGCAAGCATCAATGCCTCAACACAGTAAAGATAATAAGACAGTTTCACTGGCTAGACTTCATCTGCTCAGATCTCTGTTCTGAAAGTACAGTATATAAGAAAAATTAGGAAAGCTATGGGGCTTTGAAATCTTATTGAAATTCATGATTAAAGAATGCACTGACTCCTGTCTCCATATATGATCTTTCCAGACCTGTATGGCAGAAGAATCCCCTGCCATCCTCAGTTTTGCAGGAATTTATTAAAAGATTCCTTTTGGCAATGAAGAAAAGCTTATACATTGGTTTCCTACTCAAATTTTGCAGAAACATTGAACAAAAGATTCAATGGACTTACTCTACAAGTAATGTCCACAAGTAATAGTGGAACAACTGCCTGTTTGCAAGCAGGTCTTAAAGGATCTATTGATTTGGGCACATGATTCCTCTCATGGGAGAACTCCGCAGCAGCTGTCACGGCAAAACTTCCCAGCTCCATTGCATGAGTGAAATTTGCAGGGTGAAATTTTCAGCTGAAACTTGTTCATATAAAGATGCAGAGTCATTAGCACTGAAATAATTTGTGAATTACATGCTAAAAAGCATATACATACAAAAGAAAGTTTAAAACATTGGCACTTTTGTTTCAATGCTATTGAAAAGTTAAATAAAAAAATAAATAAATTACAGAAGTTTCTGGTCAAAAATATGCTTCGTTTTAATTTTTTTTCTCAATTAAAATTATTTTAGTTCAGAAATGAAATATTTCAAATGAAAATAAAAATCTTCATAGAACAAAAAGAATCCTAGCTTAATTTGTTTTCACAGATGTTACGAACAAAAAGTGAAAAAAAGTCTCGCTGGCCAGCAAGCCCTAGCTGAGAGCTCAGAAGGGAATAAATGCAGGAGTCCTGCAGTTTTGTATTAAGTCCATCTTGTCATTTGTAGAATGTGTGTTGGATCTCCTGCTTCTGCAAGAACAGGCACTCAGGAAAGTAATACTAAGTAAACTCTTCTTCAAGGTCTTCTACATATTTCCCTGAAGGAGGGGTGAGCACCCCAAGTAATTACAATGCTGTGATAATAACTAAGTTAGGATATAATTATCTGCTGCAGACTTTTAAATGGATGGAAACAAAACAATCCCACACATGCAAACTATATTTTGTTTTCATTCTGTTTCACAAGACAATCTGATGCATCTTTTATGAACTTCTCAAAAGACTGGAGGGGAAGAACTCAAAATTACTTTCCTGATTTAGCCATATTCTTATTCTTTCTAATAACACAGTGACAGATGTGAAGGATTAACTAACATTTTTTTGGCATTCTGAAATTCAGATTGTGATTAAAATGATTAATTATTTCCTCTCACAATATGGAAATGTGAATTTTAAGTTAGAGGATTTTCTGGTTGATATAAAAAATGCATTATGAAAGTGGGTGGAGTTTAGCTTATGGATATTTGTTAAATTATCATGGTTTAAGTACAGTCTGTTTTAATAGTTCCTGAGGATAAAAATGATTAACTAAACACTAGTAAAGAGTAAATAAATCCAGTAGGCTAGTTAGGTTCTTCTATCCAGGGCTGAGATTCTCCAAGTCTGCTTGGGGATGCACATACCTTTCATCATCTGGACCTTCATTCTGCAAGGAAATGTCCTACATCAGCAAAGAGAGGATAGTGCAAATGTCTCATGAAAAGACCAAGAACAGAGGACAACAGTTAAGCAGCCTGAGAGGGCCTGTTTCTCTGCTAGGAGAACCCAGCAGTTGCTCTTTCAAGTGCAGGATCAAACATGAAGTTGTTCTCCTAATGCTCCTCCATTCCTCAGGATGGAGAGAGATTCCTGGTGTGGCCGTGTCTGTGAACGTACCTTGCAGAAGTAGCCCAATTTCACCTTTTCTCATCAGGGAGAGATTCAGATGAGGGGAAAGGATGTCACCCTGAATAGTTGTGGGATTCCAAGAAGCACCACTGCTGAATTCACCGCAGTGAATCCTCACCAGCTGCCGTAGGCTGGTTCAGGACCTTCTGCTCTCACAGCTGCAAGATCAAATGTGGAGGCTCCCAGCCCATAGCTGCTGCCTGAGTGGCGAGGCCATGCCCAAACCCCTAGATACGTGCTTTGCTCTGCTTTGCCAATAGATATTGAATTACTAGACAGAAAAAGCTAAAAGAAGTGATTCAGTGCCTAACGGCAAGAGTTTACTAGCCCTTTGGCTGGCTATTTTGTTGATGCCTTTGAGTTTACTGAAGGCAACTCAGCTCTTTTCTCTTTGGATAATCTCTTTGTCTAACTCTTCGGTGAAAATATTGCTACAGGCTATACCTTATTGGAAGCCTTTCCTCAGGTTTCTGTTTTTTTAAGATTAAGATATAACGCTTTGTAGTAATTAGTTTAATTTGTTCTCTTTTTTTTAAGAGCCAGCAAAAGCTCCTGCAGCCAAACCAGCCACCAAAAAAGCAGCAGCACCAGGTAAAGGAATAAAATGTTCACATTCTGTGTATTTCTTGTATTCTTGAACAAGCTCATTGCATCATAGCACCATCTGCTGGTTTATACAAAAGCCAGTGGTTTGGGTTTTTTTGTATGTTTGCTCTAAATTATTGTGATAATTTGTATGCAAAATCTTTGTTAAGAACAACAGCATTTGCATTGATCTCTAACATTATGGTTGCTTTCACTCTCATGGCAGATGTAGGGTGCCATATTGGGCCATTCTGCAGGGCTTGAGACCAAAAAATGAATATCTGCATCTAAAGACCAATTTAAAAAGCAATGTTTACAGAAATGAGTTTTCATGTGAAGCTGTATTCGGGCCTTCAAGAAGGGGATCTGATTTTTCAAAATGCTGGTCTCACAGTAGGCTTTACAAAAATGGAACTCTTAGATAACCATAAATATGCTCTGAAAAGACAAGCAAACTTTTTTAAACAAAATAATGGCACAAATTCATATCTGAATTCAGATTGGATTGTAAAAATGTACAAACTTTTATTGATTTCTGATCTGTTCTGCTTCACAGCCATCTTAGAAAATGCTATGTCACATTTCTGCTTAATTTAATAAAACCCAATATAATGAATAACAATTAAATATTCAGGATATCTGTAGTTTTACTACATTTTAAATTAACTAATAAAAAAACAGGAATTTGCATGTGAAAATGTGATCAATATAAAACCATAATATTATTCTACTCTAAAGTAGGGTGGCCAATGCTGCACCAGGGTCTGTGCTGCTGAGCTGTACCTGGTGCTGGCATCGCAGGAGCGGCCAGCCCACTCCCTCTGCTGTTTCTTGCCTCCAGCTGATCCCACTATATGTGGCTATGTGGATCTACGTGGATCTGGGATCTGTTTATTTTCTTTTTTTTTTTCTTTAAGATTGTTCTCTAGTTGTCTTTCTCTAATTCAGACCTTTTCAGTGGTCTGTCTCAGAGATCACCTCCACCGAATAAGGGAATAATAACTTGCATCAGTAGGGGAGATTGGGAATTGGTCAAGGATCAGTGCAAGCCAGGAACATCTTCGGTTGCCTCTACCACAAAAGGACTTGCAGGCTGGAATTGCAGTCGCTATAGGCTAGCTTAGGGCATATTGTACAGCTGTACAACGTACTGTGCGAAGCTGGCTTAAGAAAAGCCACTTCCCCACTGATGCCCCCAGTCCCTGCCTGCTGTGTTTCTTTGACGCCGTGTTCAGTTGTGCTAACACAGCTGGGAGAACAGTGTAAACCATACCATTGCCATGGCTTAGAGCTAAAAACTGTCCTAGAAATGTGTGTGTGTGGCAAGGTGTTCAGCCTGGATCATTTCAGTAAGTCTGGCTCCACAAACACTTATATCCATGTAACTGATAATTTCTTAAAGCAGCTTTGTTGCCAAAGTGTGTTGTATAGCTAGACCCTTAGATGTCTCGACAGTACACTGCAGAAATCATTATGTTATAACCATATGCTTATAATTAATTCATTCCACCTGCTTGCATCCAATATTTATGTTCATTTTTGAAAAATATTCCAATGAGTCTGCTTGTTGGCAAGAATGGTGATGACAGTAATCTGCTTAAGATAAAGAAAAGGGGAAAAACTGGCATGGCTTCTTATGGAAAAATAAAATTAGTTTGTCTGTTCTGACACATTTCTAAATATCTAGTTTGCCTTAAAAGTAGTAAAAAGCAGTAGGTTTTGACTTCTACATTTTTGTTTCCTCTCCCCAAATGGCACTGTTCTCTGAAAATTAATTTGCCCCCAGAATAAGTCACCATAGCAAAATATTAAATGTGCTTGTTTGGCAACATTGTAACTAGACTGCTGCCTATTAGTACAGTAAATTAAATACATTATCCAATTTCATATTTCATTTTCTTCCACATATCTTATTACATCGCAACCTGTACCCCAGAATGCCTAAAGCTGAAGGTTTAGTCCTATTAACAGACTGAACAGACTGAGAGCACAGCTGGTCATCTTCCAGTGCTTCTACATCACATATGTTCCTGGTCTTAATGTCACTGGTGAAGAATACCCTGCCTAATACACTGTGCACTATTTTTGTCTCTGTATATTTATATGGAGAAAGCAAAGAAAGTGAATGTGGAATTTGGAAGTCTATGAGAGCTTCTGTGTCTGGAAACTGATGGCTGCTCTAGGAAACCATCCTCAATGAATACCTGTTACTTGATTTTCAAAGTGGATATTTTCAAATGTAGTGTTTTCTCTAACAGGAAAAAAAATACCTCTCTGGCACCCAGCTGAAGCTGGGCTGGAGAGCATAGTATTTGGCTTTAAAGCAGAATAGTTTCATAGATATATGCAAGTGATGCTATTCTGAAGGGAGAAACCAGAGCTGAAGATATTTCATGACGCTAGTCTTCTGCAGTTACACTGTCTTATGATGTCCCCGTCCCAAACTCCGCTGCCATTTCCTCTTCTTTCACCACGGTGCATCGCCTCCCCAGCTGTGCCAGCAGGACAGACCTGAGAGTGACCTAGCCTTACAAAATATCTGCCTATCGGTTTTCCCTGAGGAGGGGCACAGGTTTCTTTCACAGGATTTCCTCAGGCACTCCGTGTGCGCTGGGCCCAGCGTGCTCTCCGCAGGATTTCTCAGAGCCGGGGGTGTAGGTGTTGAGCACCTGCCTCATGCTGCCATCCTCTGCTAGGGCAGGCGGCTGGGCAGGAGACCTCCCTCCTTGCCCCCCTCCCCGGGAAGGGCTCCCCCACCGCTCTGCGTACCGCACCCGCAGCTATTGCTGACTCTCTGCCGGGTCAGCGGCCCAGGTGTCAGCGGTGGGGCACTGACACATCACACCTCAGCTTGGTAAGTTGGCTGGGTCTGTTTTGGCACCGTAAGGAGAGCAAGTGCATGGCGGTGCAGGGCAGGGAAAGGAGCAGAGGCTCAAATCACACCAGGAGTGCTTGCAACCGAATTAGCGGAAGGGTGACTGGGTTCCCCGGCAGGCAGCAAGGAACCTCGGTGCTACTGAGCCCCGCACGCTCCCTTAGCTAGGGTCAGGGATGGGAACTGTGGGTGAAGTCTGTGAGTCCTATAATGGGATAACCCCACATTATACACAACGCTTCAGCACCTTCTTTAAGCACCAGTGATAGTGCTTTCCCCTGATGATTGGCCTGATTTAAAAATCAGATCTAACACTGTAAAAATTAAATCCTAATTGCAGCTTAGAATTTCCCTGGAATGCTCTTGCAATTTTTAATTTAATTTTAGAGTATGTTTAACAGATTTTGTACTGTCACCTAACTGCCTAATTACTGATTTTTAATGCCTGATTTTTCCCATCTTCCTCTCCACACACATGCCAAAAGAAAAAATCTTATTCATTACTCCCTTTGGGTTCATAATAGAAACTCTTTTTGAGCACCGGTTCCCCTTTGAAAATCAGTGAAATTTAGTTTGGTCCCAGAAAGAATAAAATAAGTATGACAGACAAATAGCCAATTTTAAGTGCTCGTTACAAGGGGTAATGGCTTTAAACTGAAAGAGGGTAGATTTAGATTAGATATAAGGAAGAAATTCTTCACTATGAAGGGCGGTGAGCATTGGAACAGGTTGCCCAGAGAAGCTGTGGATGCTCCTTCCCTGGAAGGTTCAAGACCAGGTTGGATGGGGCTTTGAGCAACCTGGTCTAGTGGAAGGGCCCATGGCAGGGGGCGTGGAACTAAATGATCTTTAAGGTCCCTTCCAACTTCCAACATTCTATGATTCTATGATGTCAGCTGCATCCAATCTCTCAAACTGACTCTGTCAGTTGTGTTAGAATTATTATTATTTTATTATGCCTCTGATTTTTCCACTGTTGGTAAGAAGCAGAAAGAAAAAAAAAGGGACATTATATAGGAAATGAGTTCATGAGGTAAGTACACAATATTAGAACACAGACTATACTGAAAAACCTGGTCAGAGGATTGGTTTAAGAGGTTCAGATCATGCTGCTTAATGCAGGAAGAACTGTTCTACTGGTGATGGGAAGTATTTACTTAACAGACAAATTATTTTAATCCTTGGTTCAAGGTGAACAACAGTAACTAAAATGGGAGGAGGGAAGAATCTTTGTACTTGCCATACGGTATAACCAGTGCTGTTCTACTTAAAAAGAAAGAAATAACAAAGTTTATGGGACAGCAGATATGCTTTAAAAGGGAGAAAAGGTTTGTTAAGAAGCTGGGCTTGTTGGTTGTCTTTTAATGACCTATAGGACAGAATTAGGTAGAAAGGATGCTAAAAACATGTAAATGTTACAAAAGATTAATAAAATTCAGCACATCTAATGAATGATTTACCAACACAGTGGAACAGACAAAATTATTATGGATTCTTTTTCAGGTTTTTCAGAGTCAGGTAGCTCTCTCGAGTCACACGTCAGGGATGTATTTTACTCACAACACCACACCCCCTCCATCATCCGTCCACCTATTATTCTCTTGTGTAGATATATCGCCCAAGAGAAGAGACATCAAAACCCAGTGTAAATGTATGTTACACACCCCCATGTAAATACTTTTGGAAAGAGGAAAAGGAGAGGAACAGTGTTTCTTTCTCTTTCTCTCTGTGCTGGTTTTGACTGGGATAGAGTTAATTTTCTCCATAGTAGCTAGTATGGGGCTGTGTTTTGGATTTGTGCTGGAAACAGTGTTGATAACACAGGGATGTTTTGGTTACTGCTGAGCAGTGCTTGCACAGAGTCAAGGCCTTTTCTGCCTCTCACACCACCCCACCAGCGAGTAGGCTGGGGCTGCACAAGAAGTTGGGAGGGGACACAGCT